ACACACACAGAGAGAGAGAGAGAGATCAGCTGTATGGTTACACCTTTAATTCCCATTCTGAATAGAGTTGAATTTAAAGGATTTACTGTGGACTGGAGTTTTCATAATGATCGATAAAGTTTTATTTACCAGTATTTTGAATGATTTGTGAATGTAATAATGAAATGTGGCTGACAGTATCTGTGTGTTTTCTGTCTCTCTGCTGTGGCCCGCAGTCAAGAGTGATTTCAGCTAAAGCCCAATCACAGCAGAGACGGCGATCTGTGTGTGTGTGTGTGTACCTGTGCAGATGTGTGTGTGGGGCCGCTGGTCTGTTGCGTGGAGACGGTCGTCCTGGAGACGGGCTGCAGCGTCTGTGTGGGGGGGCGGGCGGGGGGCACTGAGACTGACGGCGGCGTGTAGGAGTCGTTCTTCACCACTTTAGTGATGGGAGTCGAGAGAGAGACAGGCCCCGCCTACAGAGAGAGAGAGAGAGAGAGAGAGAGAGAGAGAGAGAGAGAGAGACAGGTGAGGAATGTGCGCACGTGTGTTTTTTCAGCTGACAGCCTCTGAATCACTCGCGTTTCTTCACTATATTCTCTGACGGATCAGATGTCTTTGCACGGCCGAGTTAAGGCTGCTCTGTGCCGGCTCAAACTCATCTCTATACGAACACCTCACAATCACACACACTGAAGGCTTATATTTCCAGGACTCATGAATCACATTACAGACCGTACAGGACGGTCATGTTACCGATTAAAGACACAGGATTTTTGTTTTTAATAATGATGTGCACAGGTAAAGCATTTATAATAAACACTTCAACAGTCCATAAAAAAAATGATTAATTGTCAGTTATTCACTTTATAATTGACTGCATCACTAGTGTTGTGCTGTCAGTCCAACAAAGCAGCTCTACAGCAGATAACGCCGTGTGAGTGTGTGTAATCTTCCTGATTTATCCCAATTCCTCAGCATATCCAATAGCTCAGAACAACTTGATGATGTAACAGAAACTATGAACTCTCTCTTTTCTAGCATTTTAGATACAGTTGCTCCTTTACGCTTAAGGAAGATTAAGGAAAACAGTCTGACACCGTGGTATAATGAGCACACTCGCACCCTAAAGAGAGCAGCCCGGAGAATGGAGCGCAGCTGGAGGAAAACAAAACTAGAGGTATTTCGTATTGCATGGCGGGAGAGTAACCTATCCTACAGAAAAGCATTAAAAACAGCTAGATCTGATTACTTTCAGTCTCTTTTAGAAGAAAACAAACATAACCCCAGGTTTTATTCAATATTAACGAAAAATAAAGCATCAACAAGTGTTGACATTTCTCAACAGCACAGCAGTAATGACTTTATGAACTACTTTACTTCCAAGATCGATACTATTAGAGATAAAATTGTAACCATGCAGCCGTCAGCTACAGTAACGCATCAGATAGTGTGCTATAGATTTATTTCTTAGCCAATTAAAAGTAACAAAGTTTTTTTTTTTGTCAATTAGACATACATAAATATTATTATGCCTATTATTATTACTACTACTACTACTACATTTGACATTTCTGTCCCCCTCACTTCTGAAATGATTGCTACTCCCCATGCCCTGTAACATAACTGAATATAACACTTTAGCTATATGCCGTGTTATCTTTATTTGGGGATCAAATATGTTGTGGCTCCACGTGAATTTTATTCGGTGGGAAAGGGGCCAAAATGGCTCTTTTGA